CATCCAAAGATGTTGCACTACTGCCATCTCCTGGGTTTTACTGTTACCTCACTTCCAAATCCTTAGATCCTCTGAACAGCGTCCCCCTTGAGAAGCAGCTCATTACAAAAAATAAACAAATAAAATAAAACCGAAATGCTTGCTCTTTCGTCCAGACTCCAGATCAGCAGGTGGCGCTAATGCTCCGGTAAGCTGACTTCCAGCGCAGTAATGGGAAGAAGTAATCGCAGGAGGAGACACCTCGGCCTGCAGCACTTAGTAACCCGACAGTGGTCTGAAGCAGAACCATGCAGGCGTGAATTGTTGCATTCTGTGATTTAATGGTAAGTCATGTCAAAGTTCACTGCTCGAGTGACAGTTTGAACACTAAGATTCCTTTATGGATATATATATCGAACTACAGTGCGTTTATACCACTACTATGAAGCGGCTAGCAGCAGTACCTCCTAGCGTTAGCTGCGTGGCTACAATGGTAATCCTCAGCTTTAGATGAAGGTAAAACATGTGTGTGGCTTTCCTCCACGCTTGTTTTTAACGTTGTTTTTTTTCGCTCAGCCTTTGTCAGCGCATAATGTATTTTATTTTAGTATGGCTTTCACAAAGTATGCTAACGAGACGACAATCGGCGGCATACAGCTTCTTTGTAAACCGGTACTCTTAAGCTAAACCGTAAACAAATCTCTTTGTGTTTAATGGCGATGGATGATATTTTCCGAAGCTTGTTACAAAATAGCATTTGCACGGTGTATTTCTTTCATAATCTGCAAAATTTATGTTTTGTTGTTGTTGTTGTTTTGCAGTGTTAATTATATTGCTTCTAGGGCTGTATGGCCAAAATGATAATCACGACTGTTTTGATTAATATTTAGCACGATTGTTCCTTTTTTAAGTGGATATAAATATTTTTGATTGTCAGGTAGATAACAGTGCTTTCACATCCACGTTGTGCGATATTGGCCGTACTGTGCAAGTTTTCACGTGAAAATGAAACTGATTCTCGGCTTTCACCTAAATGCTACTATTACACTGTGCTCCATTCCTTTTTCTCAAAATATCATTGCAGACTATCAGGCACTAATTCATCTGACCTGAATGCATCTTTCAGAAGCAAAATAGGAAAGCTAAAAATGAATAAGTAAATATGCTATCATGGAATGAAATCATCTGAGAAGAATTCAAGGCAGACTATGCATAAACTTTAGTGTTTTAAAGGAAAAAATAATTGCTTGAGGAGATAATGCCTTTTTTCCTAAAGCCTTTGTTAATCACCGTATTTATTAGACATGTAGCTTTAGCTGAAAGGATTACGACTGCATTGCTGATTTCAGTGGAAATGATTTCTAAGCATATCTGAGTTGTTGTTTTCAGTAGCAACCATTGTTTTGTTTTTCCTGGCGTTCTTGCATTCATATATCTGCATCCTGAGTGTTTTCAGCCTGTTAAATAGGTTAGTTCTCTTACTTTGCAGCACAAACACAACTTAGCAGCAGTGTTTACATATTATGATTTGGGTTTTTTTGTTAGTGTCACTGGCACTCAGCCTGAAGTATCTCAAAACAAGGGATGATAATATTCCTTGAGGGACAAGCTCTTTGCCACCATTGTGAATTTAATTTTTGTGTGTTTGTATTTATATCTGTAGGAAGATGTTTCACAATCCACTGTTCATCTTATAGCTATGTTAGCTAATTATAGTAGGTTAAATCACTTACTGCTCTCTGTCTTTCCATGCCTCAACCGCATGTGTCTGAAGTGAAAGCAATTTAATGTCTATATATATGCTGCTCAGTCATTGCTATATAACACAAAGTCAGTTTCACTTCAGAACTATCAGTCAGTTCAGTTAGGAAGCATAAACTATTGTGAATCCCTTTTATCTGCTTTGGTGTAAATGAAAGTGAAAATGGATGCACTGGACAGGCAGCAACAAGATAATCTGCTATAACAATGGTTTTGCAGTTGAGCAGTGTGTACATGTAACAGACTTGAAAGAACAGAGTCTGAAGTCACTTTCATATGCATCAAAGCAGGTGAAATTGATTCACAATGGTTGATGCTTCCTACCTGGACAGATGTAACGGTGTAAAATTTACATTAAATATAGAAAGAATTGCATTCGTTGGACTGTTGTTGTCTAGGTACATGTTATCCAACTGATAGCTGATAAAAACAAGGTAAAACACTCCCTAAACTGGGTAGCACTACATTACTTTGAACCAGTGGAAAATACACATTAAACTTTGACAAAGACCTTGATGCCAAGATTGTGGTGTACTGCTTTGGATATATAATAGAGGCTGCACTGTCATCTGAGGTTACTTGTCTAACCAGCTCACTCAGGCTGCTTTGTTTTTGTCAGCATTGTCCTTTGTTGAAGATGTTTATTGATTATAATTTTACTGGTGGTGACAATCAAGTGTGCTTGTAAGGGAAGTAGGTTTTCATGAAAGCTGTTTGATTGTTTCTGATTCTAGACATAGTGGAGCAATTGAGTAAATAAAATACCTTTTTTGTGCTTTAGGTGTGCAAAAGATAAGCAAATGCCAAATGAAAGCCAACAATGTAGAGAGATTTCCCTGCCATTTAAAACCTGGGCACAAGGGGTGGGTGATCTGATCCGTGGTCCAGTCTTCCTACTGTGTGATTGCCAATAATGAATGCCATTCCCAGCAAAGTAGAGAATGGGATTAATGCTCACCAATTAAAGTAGTATTATTTACCCTCAGTCCACAGCACGTGGTGTAATTGAGCTTGTTTGAGTGAGGTTTCGTTTTTATACACAAATGAATGATTTAGGTTTCATAATTAATATCCATTAGTGGGTAGCTATTAAATGAACAGCTAAGACTGTATTACAGCTTAACATTATCTTGATTCTACTAATGTATATTTTTTAAAACTATTTTTTAAATAAAGTGGCTCACCTGTCTCTTTACCCTTTCCCTTTGCTCTCCCACACAGTCTTACACCAACAAATACACTTGATGAGAGGAGATTCTTACAATTACAAAATTAATTTCTAATCAAACTAACAGACAGAAAATGCCCAGCTTTTATTTATATATTTTTTCCCATTTAATAATGATGAACCAATTAAGCTGATCCACAATCGCCCATTTATTTCAAAGAAAGCAGGGATGCAGACTCTTCTATGTCTTGTAGTGTCAGTTGTATGCAAAGATTAGACAGGAAAATACACCAAGTAAATAAAATTGCAATGAAGAACATAATGCTAATATTAATATAATGCCTTAATTGGGAATCAAGTAAAAAAAAAATCACCTTAATTGGCAATTGTTCCCTGAGATCATTATCTAATGGCACAAACGTATTGAGCACAGTGGTTATATATTTTCATGAAGTGTGCATGTCCATTTTTGTGTTCATAATGTAATCCATAAGCATCTATTGAAGATGCCAATACTTTGGGAAAAGGGTGAGCATACCTGTTTGCTGCTAAAGAATGTAATTGTTAATTATATACAGGGTGAACATGCATAAAAAGGTGCTCTTTACTTGATTTCTGGAATATCGTCGTGTTCATTTTTCCATTGCCTCTTGTTACCAGCTGAGCCTTCCCACTTAGACTGTTTCCAAGTTCTCCTCCCTGAGTGTGACCTAGATTCAGTGGGGCTTTTATTGTTGGTGGTGAGCTACAGTCTTTCTCTGGTGCAAGTGTGTGTGTGTGTGTGTGAAATGTTGACACAGACACTGTAAAGTGCACGCACGTGGGGTGACTGTCACTGTAATGTAGTCTTGGATGGTTCCAGACTGTGTTAAGTACAGTGTTTGCTTGTCCAGAAAGGGAACTGTTCTGATTGAGCAACAGTATGACAAGATCTCTTTGCTTCTCCTTAAAACTGCAGTGTTTCCACAAGGTAAGTGTTAGTTACCAGTAACCGGCTCGAGTAAAATGATGAGCCAAAAACCAGAGGTTTTCTTTCCATGCTGAGAGCATGGATCTTTTAAAGTTAAAAAAAAAAGTTGTTTTTTTACCTGTGAAACTAAAAATTGAACAGTAGGAAGTAGCTATAGTTAGGGTTGAATTTAGTTATAAATATAAAGAAGTTCATTTTTATGTGTGAAACTTCGTGCTAGCCGTTGTGATGCTTGGGCAAAGTTACTCAAGTGGTCACTTTGAGAAAACGGAAACTAAATAAATAAAAGTGAACATCATAAGGGACTGGGCAGTTGTGTTTTTAGATGCTGTTTTTTAATTGGAGCATATGCAATGACCGTCAGGACATTATGAAACTCCAATAATGTGAGCTACTTCTAGGAACATTTTCTCTTTATTCAGATACTTAACAGTATCAGCCACTTGGTGTTCTTGTCCTTAGTAATTCCCATTTTGTTGTTGGGTAACATGAATCCAGGTGTTACACTAAATATTGAATTAGTAGCTTCTGTTAATTTTAATTTGGTAATGACAAAGGGATTTAATTTAAAGTGCCTCTGCTGCATCAAGGGCAATGGCCAGTCTGCCGAGTAAGGTCTGCACTGGTGTCAAGATGGGTCTAGATTAATGAAATGATGTCTACTTGATCATCATGTAAGATACTGTTATTCAACAAGATGAGGGCTGGAACTTGGAATTCTAAAAGGGCAGATGGAGAAACTCAGACTGTCGCTTATAGCCTGTCACTAAGGCTATAGGAGCCAGTTGAGGTGGTTTGGGCATCTGACAAGGGTGTCTCCTGAGCAAGGTGTTCTGGGCATGTCCCACCGGGACGAGGCCCCGGGGCAGACCCAGGACAAGCTGGAGAGATTATATCTCTCAGGTGGCCTGGGAACACCTTGGTATTCCCCCGGACAAGCTGGAGGAGGTGGCTGGGGAGAGGGAGGTCTGGGCTTCTCTGCTTAGGCTGCTGCCCCCGCGACCCTGGCCCGGATAAGCGAAAGAAGATGGATGGTCCTTACCAGACTTTCTTTCTTGTGCATACTGCAGCACCACCCATAGCAGACCTTTCCTCTGCTGACCCCCTCCAGTCGCTGGGAGTGTGGGATGAATATTCCCTGCTGGTTGGTGCTAGGTTTAATCAGTTGAAAAGAGGGGGCTGTACCTAAAAGTCACGGGTGCCCATAGTTTGCATGGAAGAAACTGACTTGTCTCACCATTAATTCTCCAAAATGTAGTAAAACTTAAAAAAGTGAAATGTGAACCAAAAAAACGAAAATGTTTGCCTTAAAAACTAAAAGTTCCCCCTTTTTGAAATGCAGTTGCAGCAAAAGGGCATAACTTCTATGAAGACAAGCCGAGGCGGCCACACTCAGTATCCCTGCTTGTGGAAGCACTTTGAATTAGTTTGCAGAGGAGTTTGTTACTTATATGCAGACAAAAATGATCACATAAGGTTTTCAGCACTGTACCCCTTTTTGTGACCAATTCCACACCTGCAATCACCAGCAACCACTAACAACTTGTTGGAGAATACACATTGTTCTGTCAGGATAGGTGGTTGCTAGATGGTCACAGACCAGCCACTAGGCCTGTGTCACTGGGTACTTATTCAGACAGCTGATAGACTGATTGACTATAGCCGAGCTCTGAAACATTTTCACAGTTAATGCACAGTTAATTGGTAATTGTGCTCTGAACTGCAGATGCCCCAGATGATTGGTCATTTCTGTTACATGTCTTTGAAGTCTACCTGAAAGACGCATGCATAGTTGGTGCATTATAATGCAAGTCTCAGTGGTAGAGTTCACGTGTTTGACCAAAAAAAACTGTCACACACATGGATGCTTACTGTCTGACACAACTTACGTCATTTGGACCTTACCGGATCTATGGATACAGAAATTATAATAGGTTTTAGGCGTGTTAAACCTCTATTGATCATCATTTTTGCCTAGTGTAGATCATGGGAAATGAATGCTCACTTGCACTACTTGTCATACAGTTTGAATTTTAAACAAACTTCGGAGTCAGTTGTTTCGTAATACTTTTCTTTCATCCCTCCAGGTCCTAATCCAGCATGGAAAAGCAGAGGAGTCAACATGCATCTTGTGAAACACATCTTTTTTGAATACCAGGGTTTTGAGCAAACCCATTGATGGCCACATGGAGACCAATTTTCTTGGTGCCTGGATAGTTTTACTTGTACATACCGGTTAAAAAAATGATGCCATCTGTACATGGACAAAATCATTTCGTAATGGAAAAGCAGAAGTCTGGGAACAGTGCGTCTTCAGGCAATTCAGCCGCAGAAATTAACTTCATCTGCACTGAGTGCGGTGATGGATTCAGTCAGTACGCTAATGTATTGGCACATATGGCAGTTCATGGACCTTTGGAGTCATTTTCCTTTGATGGCTCATCCAATGGATTTGAAGTCCCCCGAGAATATGTGCTACAAGAAAATGGTACACTGACAGTTGTGAATGGTTTGACACAGTCACATTCTCCTTTGAAGCCAGTATCTCCTGGAGTTTTGCCATCACATTCACATTTCCCATCCTCTGTAAGGTCAGTATCTCCAAACGTAAAATCGCAGCCTGCTCCTCACAAAGAGGTATTCAGGCCAAGGCCGTCTGATGTGAACTTGGACAAGTCTCGCCAGGGACATTACCGCTGTGAAATATGTAATCGATCATTTAATAGCTTGCAGAGTTTACATCGTCACCAGCAATATCGAAACACAGAACGAGGATACAAATGTACTTTGTGTTGCAAAATCTTTGAAGATAGGCAGGATCTCAAGAGACACCTCCATGACCACTTAAATGAGAGGTTTCACTGCTGTCGTCTTTGTGGTAAGCGATTCCTGAAAGCAGATGCCCTGAATGCTCACCAGAAAGAAAATCACCCTATTTCCAAAGGTACAGCTCTGGGTAAATCTGAGAATAAGCAGGAAAAAAAGCTTGAGAAAACATATCCTTGTAAGAAGTGCAAACTGAATTTTTTCTGGATGTCAGATTTCCAGACACATTCCCTCTACCATTGCAAGGGGAAAGAGCCTGATGCTTTATTTGCATCTGAAATCGAAATTGACATAAATTCTAAGGACCTACACAATGCGCAACTTGAAAACTGCCATAGTAATGGCACAGCGATTGAGATGCAGAATGGGGAAACTAAAATCTTTAGGCATTGTAGCGACGACTATGACTACTCTTTCAGAAAATATAGATGTGGTTTATGTGGGGATCATTTCCAGAAGTTAGCAGCTTTAAAGGAACATCATCTCACACATCAAACTCAGGAGGAAATTGATCAGATGAATCAAGAGTCCCAAAAACCTTTAAAGCAAAAGGTCCAACCTAAAGCCAGACGTAGAAGAGGGGGTAATCCAAATGGAAAGCTCCATCCGTGCAAGCACTGTCATCGTGTCTTTAATCATTCTAGTAGTTTGTCCCGGCACATGAGATATCATAAAGGTACAATGCACACATGTGTATTTTGTGGTAGGCATTTTCCTCAGCGCTGCGATTTGAGGAGACATGTAGTCATGTATCACAAAGCTGAATTGGATAAGAAGCCAGGTTTAAAACACTTGTACACAACTCCACCAAAAGGTCCTCCATACACTTCTCTTAGTAATAGTGAGAAAAACATGAGCCCTGCTAATGAAAACACCAAGAGCTCTTCTGACTATGAAGCTGTAGCTTCACCAGAGCAGAATCAAAATGATAAACAATCAGGAAAAGCAGGTAGAGTTAACTACAAGTGCCAGGAATGTGGAAAGAGATTTGGGCTGTTATGTGTGTACCAACGGCACTTGCGTTACCACAAAAAGGAACCCAACAAATGTCCCCAGTGTCCAGCTCAATTTAGGAATTCCTCATCCCTTGAGCTTCATCTTCAGAATCACCCAAGCACTGAGGAAGTGGACGATGCTGGACAAACATCTCATGGCACTGGTACTAATGTGGATGTTGTCTTGGAAAAGGGTAATGCAGAGGACATAGAGGATGACTATATGGCCCATACTCAAAATGATAAAGGAAGTTCTTCAGAGGCTGTCTATGAGTGCACAGAGTGTACTGAGACATTCTCATGCTTGGAGACGTTCCTTCAGCATCAGACTTCTCATGGTTCAGAAAACAATGGGTAACTATCCTGTCAGACGCATTTTTCATTATTCCTGCCAACAATTAAGCTGTAGAGAGTTGAGTCTTTTTGACTTTAGAATGCATCTAATTGGATAACTCTAAATATGGACTGTAAAGTTTGTTTGTGGTGGTCATTTTATATAAGTACTTTTATACATTTTTTGTTGGCATGCCATGAAAAGTATGTTTGGTGAATTTCAGAGATTAAACTTGGAAATGAAGCACAAGTGGTACCAAATCCGTTCTTTATTAAAATCATTGTGAAAATGGGTTACAAATGCAGTGTTTGCGTGTGTATGGCTAGAATGCATATTTATTTCAATTTTTCTGTCTCAAACTATTGTTGCAGTTGAAAGTAAATATGTTGTTTATTCCATTGTATTTTTAATGGTTACCTATGCTGTCAGTGTAAGTCAAATTGCTGCATTCATCTTTTACTTGCAAAAATGTAACATTTTTAAATATTTTAAATCTTATGCATACTTCTTTATTTTGAAAGGATTGCATTGTCATTTAGTAGGGTAATTGTGCCAATAAAGTTGTACCAAGAAACAACTTAAGATCCTGTTTTGCTCTTCAAAAATCTGTAGTTATGTTTTTCTTTTTTTTTGCATTAACGTAAGATAAGAAACCACTTCTGTTGAGGAAATATCGACACTTGTCTTTCTTTGGTTGCATTCTTTGATAGTCAAAAAAGTTATTAGTTGACAGCAGGTCACAGTGCAGCGTTAAAACTAGGGATGTTCCTGGCTACTTTAAGTAGAAGAACATGAAAAATCAGGCAAACTAATCTTAAAGTTTTAACCAAGAAAATATGTCATCCCCAACAAAACACTCAAACTGCCAAAACTGAGCATAATTAAAGTTAACCATTGGGCTGACAGTTGGTATGGTTTAAGAGCCATTTAAAGCTGTTAATCACATTGTTCACAACATTGCATAAATATTTTAACCAAGTACTCTGTCACAGATTTCTGTATAATATATTTAGCTCCATCTCCAGTAAGTATGTTGTCCCATGGTTGGAGGTACTCCAGTCCGGTAGTCCTTTTTTGGCTTTGCCCCAAGTGCTAGTTGAGGTGACCCTCCAGAGCATTGTTCCACCAGCTATTATCGTTGAGCTGAGTCAGTGTGACCATTAGAAGAAACACCTTTGGAAGAGGCAGCTGAATGATATGAAGGACCTCAACAGCAGTAGTCTGGTCGGTCTGTAGGTAGACAAGTGCAAGACTTAAAAATGAAGGGGCAAGGACTAGCTAAAAAAGCACAATAGACACAATAGTGAGTGCAGTGTTGAAGACTTAAAAGGCCCATTATGGTTATTGCACTGGTCATGTTGCACGCAAATGTTGATGCCACTATTTAGTCCACTGCTGAGAGCGCAGGTACTCAGTATTCTGAACCATAGGTATGGCCACTCAGACAAAACCTCTACATCAGTGCCAGTATAGGAGTAGAAGTTGTTGAAATCAGAAACAACAAAACTGCAGATTTTTCTTTGTAAAGTCTCATCTTTTTAATCTCATGTAAGACCTGGGAAACTCTGAGCTTCTGCACTGATGGCGATAAAAACTGACGCAATCATACACCCATGGTTTTTGTCAATCAATATACAGTCACTTGAGCCACGCCTCGTTATTCAACAACAGCAACACTAGGGTATAATGGGGCCCTAAGGTGATGTATCAAGCCTAGAGCAGGTGCTTGCTTGTGTTTTTAGGTGGGAAGGCAAGGTGTACTCTGCGTTTGTACCCCATGATCAATCAGCACAAACTTATATTCTAATGTCCAGGCCCATTGATGGCGGAACATTTGGCGAAAATCACCTGAACGGTGGTGCATACCACGGACAAGCCGATGGCACACTAAAATTTCAATCTGAGAATTCAATCTTCGCACACTACTTGCATGTCAAATTAAGAGATGTTTTTTTTCCACTTCCCCAAAATGCAATTCAAGTTGAAGGGCCACTGGTCTGACACAGGTCCTGTATGAATCACAGATGCACCAGTGGGACACTAGTAATTGTTGATTCTTGCAGGAGCACTGTAGGTTGCAGTACTGTAGCTGGGTTTATAGCTGGTATAACTTCAAGTTATACAAATCTTTTAACTGTGTGAGAGGTGACGCACTCTTTGTTATTGCTATGGCAAGCCATCCATTGCCAATCTATCCACAATTCACTAGAATCTCTACTCTTACAGTATTGATCAGAAATAAGTGAAACTTGCACATATAGGGAAATGGGGGTTTTATGGATCAGCAGCGGGAGCGCGTTGGCAGTCAGACTGTCTACATGCCTACCCATGGTACAGCCGATCTTTTGGCTACTCTTGCTTGTACTGTTGTTGGTCCATCAGCCTACCACAGAGAAAAGGGGAGTTATATAAACAACTGTAGAGCTTCTCCATATAGGCAAATGTGTCAGAAAAAGACGGGTACAGTAGCAGCCTTGGTCACAAAGGTCTAGAGATTGGACAGAGACCCCATGGAAATCTCTGGTCACAAGGGAAAGATGTCATCCCCAACCAGTTGGCAATTGGTTGTTGGAGGTTAGTGGCTGGCAACAGGTGAAAATGGTCACAAAATGGGTGTTGTACCAAAAAAAACACTTGTGAATGCTTTGTTCACAAGCAGATTGCCTGCAATTTCCAGTGATTTGTCAACACTCACTATTTACACTCCAAGTGGTAGTGACAATTGAAGAATTTAACTTTGCATCAAAGTTACAGTTTCACTGCCACCTGGCCAATTTCATGCTACGGACTGCCAGTAACTTCTAGCAAACACTTTGATCATAAAATGAATGAGCTACTATGTCATTGATATTCTGATTCTAAATGTATTCCTCTTCCATAGACAGTAACAGTAATGAAGAGCACTTATCCTTAGTGGTTAGTTTCAGTTTGTGTTTGCTTTTTATTGCATTTACCACGTTTAACTTCTCAGGCAATAGTTTGCCTCCAAGACGCACCCTAAAGAGGTTTGAGCCTTCTTGTTCTTAAGTGCTAGGCCTCACTGGCTTACACAGCAATATAAATATTGCCAATCTCAAATAGTCCAATGCTTGTTGTGAATATTCATCTGTTTTCAAAGCCCTTGAAAAGTAGAAGCTACACATAGAAGGAAAAATAAGTATGATCCCCACTCTCTTTTGAAAAGCCATGGACATTAGTGTTAATAACTTCAGGGGTTAGACTGACAGTCACTCAGATACTTATTATCTTAACAACACAGAGGAACATGCTCACCAATCTTTACATAGCTTAATTCTCGGGAACAATTTGCAACCTTGATTCACATACTGGTAATGGATGCCCAGAGACGGGAAGTCCTCTGTGTGCTGTGATTGACTCTGGGTTGCTTTTAGAGTAATCATGTTGACTTTCTCATCGGGCCTTGGACAGAATGATCAAAATGGCTAATTTTGACAACAAACTTTTACGCTGGGCACTTTGTCACCTACCCATATTTAGGTGAATTCTTCATCTAGTTAAAACTAAATTGTGAACACATCTTTTTCAAGAGCATGACAGCACATCCGCAATTTACTACAAAATTAGACCAATACTCAACTACAAATAAAGGACATTCTGAATTTGAGCTCTGGACATGAAGCCTTGGAATAGAGTTGTGATCCTGTCACAAAGAATGTATTAATGGAAGACATACCATTGTAGAGATGGATTATAAATGGTGATTAAGTTTACCAAAATTCCTTGTACATAAGACAAGACCAGTATGAGATCTCTAAAGAAAATTGTAAGTCATACAATGTCTTTTTGTCTGACTGTTTAGACTAGGAGGTGTACAAGCAAATCCAAATTCCACTTATCCTTTGATTAATTGAATGTTGGGCGATCAAATATGTTCTGTACTTCAGCTGTTATTATCAAGCATCTGTCTGTGTTGACCCATAGAATCCTTTCTGTGTCTGCACGTTATTGTAAGTAGGTCAACTCATTCTTACAGCCCCAAGGAACTAGGAAAGGCTCAGAACTACAGATGACTTGTAATTTAGTTTTAGATATGTTGTCTGTAAATTATGAAAGACTTTTATCTTAGTAGTGAAGTTTTTAATGGGCACAATTAAAACTGTCACTTTGTTTATAGTAATTAGATTATGAAACCTGAACATATCCATTAGGTCCATTCAAGAAAGCATTGTGCTGGTCAGTGTCAAGAAATGTACCATTTAGGCTTTGGCTTTTGCACCATCTGCACAGGCTGTGTAGATGGCGTCACTGCTGTCTGACGTCCCTATCCAACCCATACAGTCTTGTCATCAAGTATGTATGGTCAGTCACTTTTTAAACACATGCTGCGTTCACAGCAGCAATGGTCCTTCACTGTACATATTGGCCCGACTAGGGTGTAAAACATATCTATCTCCTATACCGTTCTCAAACTTTAATACAATAGGAAGTTTTTAATCCTGCAAATGTTATGCAGTCTCTCACTCGCCTTCCACCCACACAGGACTAGGAAGAAAGAAATTCAGTCCTGGACATATCCCTCAGGACCAGTCTGGAGGGAGGGTGAAATGTGTGGTCATTCAAGGCTAATAACACTATCCAGCAAGGGTAGGGTCAGCACCCTCAACACCAACCAACAATGGACAAACAGAGAAGAACATTAAAGACTGCAGTTTTTCACAGTCTTATCAGATCAACAGTGTGGTAGCCCAATTGGATTTGTTCAGGTATGCCCATTGGCTAGTACACCACTGTACCCACAACTAAGCCCATATAGACGACTGAACACATTGTCTCTTATGTGCTTGCTGTAACTGATAAGACTTCATCTAAGAAGGAGTTGGTTAAATTTCTATTACATTGCTATGTTTCTGGCAAATATTTCCTTTAAATTCAATAACCACTGTCAAGAGACATGGAAAAGACTGACATATATAGCTGACTACATAGTACTTCTCTAGAATTACCATCCATGCATTTTCTTAACGACTTGTGTGTTGAAGCCAATCGTGTGTCACGGGGCTGGAAGTAGGGCCTGGACAGTCAGGGCTGAAATAGAAAGACAGACAACATCCACTCTCACATTCAAATCTATGGCCAATTTAGAATCACCAGTAAACCTAAAATTCATGTCTTTGGACTATGGGAGGAATCCGGAGAAGAGAATACACACAAACAGACACCCCATCTGGGCAGTGATTTCAAGCCCATACCTTCTTGCTTTGAGGCAACATTTCAAAGAGCTGCTTGTTTTTCTGGTCTTTCTGACCAAAGTTCTCTACACTAGCAACCACATTTGGGTATATACTCTAAAGCACTTTATTCTGTTCACTTAATCTCTTGTACAACCAACTTTAAATTACTAATTAGCTGAATATGCATGTCTTTGGACTGCAAGAGGAAGTTGGAGCAACTACACAGGCACAGGGACAAGTGGCAAACTTAATACATCACGGTTCCAATCGAGCAGGAGATTTGACCCAAAACCTTGCTTCCGTGGAGACGATACTAACTACTCCACCACTGTCAAAGCTGTTTAAAAAATAATCAAGGGAAATACATGGACCGAGCTGACGTCTATTAGC